AGGGAGGGAAAGAAGATCTTTACAAGCTGCAGAAGCAGGATATAATATAGGGATTTTTTTGTTTTGTAATTTTAGGTACTCACTGAGTTCTCAGCTTTCCTTCATAAGACCTGCCATTCAAAATCACTGGACCACATCACAAATCAAGGTTTTCATTTGTTCTCCAATACTAACTATGCATCTAAAGCCTTGTAGATATACAGGCACAGAAAAGTGAGAAAAAGAAACAAATGTTTTGCAGGTGTGAAGCAGAATTATTTCCCGAAGCTGAGAGTGCTCTACAATTAATCTAGGTTTTTCAGATAAACTACCAGAACACAACATGCCAAATTAAAATTTACCCTGCCAAATGGCTCAAAAATTCCTCGAAGCATATCTTCAGTTATGTTGAAGTGTAATGATCCCACATAAAGCCTCATAGGACCAGCACTGCCCTTCTGCAGATTATTTGCCATTGCTGCTGCTCTGTTTTTCTCTGCCTGAGAAAAGGAAAAAAGAAAAGCTCACCTTCTGTAAGAATTTAAGAAAAAACCCTAACATAAGCAGTATACATCTACCAGACTAAAACTAGCAGATTCACCGAAGAATACAAGCTGCTTTATGATCTGTAAACTACCCATTGGACTTGAACTTAAAATCTACAAAATCCAAGACCATGACCAAGTACAGAGACACAGCTTCCAAAAGCCTTCAAATTGTACAACTTCATGTAGAATTCTGGCTTGTATCTAGTAAATTAACGCTTTACTTTTTACATATGCTGCAAAGCATACATAACATATACTACAATTCAGTAACACTATTATAGTTTCATTATTACTACTTTCTTAACATATGTATTTTCAAAATGCATTTATACCACTTTGAACTGCTTTAATTTGCCTGTCAACTATGGGAAGCAAAGGTCCACTTATAATTAGCTTAAATAATCATTCTTGTTCTTGTTAAGCTCTTCCAGATGTTCAATGGTAACCTAATTTTCAAACAGTAAGTTTTCCCACCAGATAGAAGAGGCACCACTCAACATGAACAAAAATGAGGTTTACAACTCCTTACCTGTGATGCTTGTACTATGATCGGTACACCCAATACTCTCTGTCCAGTTAGTCCTATGGCCAGAGGCACTGAACTAACATCAACAAATTCTACATAAGCAATTCCCTTTGAACGCCTGGAATTTCTATCTGAAATCATTCGCACATCACGAACCTAAAAGGCAAATATAGAAATGCTATCAGAGATAAAGGAAAAAAACTAATGCAGCCCATTTCTCAGAGAGACATTAATAACCAGACAATTATTTGCCAAGCCAACAGTTTTTAATTATTCTGTAAATCTAGAGTAGCATGAAGTTATCTTAAGAAACATATCCCAGAGGGAAGCTAGTATTAGCAGCTGCCAAAGTCAAATGTAGAATGCTACAGGAACACAGGCAATAGAATACTTGCAGTACTGTAATGCTTTAAGACAGAACCTTACAGCTGATGGAACAAACAGTTTTTCAAAATGAAAAGTTAAACTAATTTTTAAATTACACTATAGCTGGCAGACCTATCTGCAAAAGACTGAAAATTCTGAAAAATGAAGCTGCTTGAATCGGAACTGCATTGTCATGTTTTGCTTCATATCACATGCTGAACAATGAACTGATAAATTATGTTTTCATGTTCAGAGCCTCTAAGAATTATTGGTCATTCATCCCTGTTTTCACCTGCAGAGGAAGCTCCAGAAAGCTGCTTGCTTACAATTCTGCAGAATATCAATCCTGTACTAGGACAGTTTGAGGAAGTATTCAGAATCATTTTAACCGCCCTATTAATTACCTTCCCTACAGTAGAGAAAAATTCTTCCAAGTCTCTCGGTCGAATTCTTGCAGCCAGCTGCATGCAGAATACTGTTCTAGCATCCCTCTCTTCAGGTGTAAGATTATCAATAGGTTCTCTGGAAAAAGGTAAGTTCAGTTAAAAAATAATCTGAATTAAGGTAACTCACCTCTGGACCATGCATGAAACTTTAAATAATCAGTACTTCAAAATCTGATAGGAAAAAAACACCTGCCGTATTAAAAAAAGCAGGGTCAAGAACTGAAGGGAATACCTAGTATTAAAGAAGTACATATATTATTATTGTATTAACATGACTAAACATCCTGTTTCAAGTGTGAGCATTAAATATGACTGTAAAATTGTATTTGAAGTACAGAAGCTCCAATTAAACAGAGGTGCCATTCTGCTACCGTCCAGAACACGTAACAATACCACTAGGGAGCTTGCAGTCAAAAAGATGAGATGAAAGGACAGGAAAGCAGGATTAATTAGCACAGACTAGCTGTCTGAACTCTCAGACAAGTAGGATGAACTTTTTTCGTGGCTTTGCAAACTAAAATCTTACATCTACACAGTCACTTCAGTCACTACAGCCACTGCATAAACAATATTGACATCTGTACAAACAGAATTTCCAGTCCTCATTTCATAGTTTCAGCTTGTTAACCCATAAAAAAAAATATATATGAATAGTGAATAATTACTCTCATACTTGAGACCAGAAACACTAGATCATTTTTATTTTGGTACTGATCACTAGCTGAAATTAGATACGTCACTTTTAAAGTGTTAAAAGCTTCAAACCTAAAAAAAAATCTGACTTGTACTTAAGTACAGGACAGAATTAGTATGCTGGATCCTGGACTGAGTTTCCAGTCACAGAATACATATTACATTTTTATAAAGATTCAAAACCATCACTGAGAATACAGAAGAAAAGTTTAAATTATCTCAGTAAAAGTTTGCTAATAATTAAAAACACAAAGCAAGATTGGTTAGATTTAACTACACTAATTTAGAGAATAATCTCATCAGCAGCTATCTAAACCCAATTCCCTTCAATGAGAAGTGTAAGAATGGATAAGGACACCCTGGATTCCAAAGGGTACCCAGCTTCTCTACAATTAACATCAATACATACCGAATAAGAAAAAGAAGCATCTGTACAGTACTTCTCCACTCTGTACTTAAGTTTATTAAGATTTAACAGAAAAGCTAGCTAATTTGAATCACAATTAACAGGAAAAAAGATTTAGAATACAGGAAAACAAAAAGCAAAGCAAGACATGTTTTCCAAACTGGGGGGCGGGGGGGAGACAAGTTTGTGATATGGGGAGAAAGCAACATATTTTCAATGCTTTCCTCTCATTGGCTTTCTGAATGAATTCCAGCATTACTTGTGAGTATAAGCTGGACAGCAAGTAGTCACACATTCTTCTCCCATTATCTTTCCAGCTTCAATTGGACAAAAAAAAAAACCTCAAACCCCGAAATGTGTATAAGAATTCCTACCTAACAGGGCTCTTGTCTTTTCTGAAGGGACTTTTGCTTCTGGAGCGTCGTCTGCTATAAAGAGAGATCAACAAGATTTTAAGAACACCTTCAAATACACTAGTCTGATTTTAAAGAAAACCTATTAATGATGCAATAAGAAGTAGAGAAAACTCAGAAACCTTAATTTGATGCTGTGAGGCAGACCAATCTTCCCTCTGATGGCACTGTTGAATTTCGGACCAGAACTACGGCAAAAGCAAAGACAGACATTACTCAGCAGAGTACCTGAATTCAAAATTTCCCATCTGTACTCACATTACATTGTAAGTGCTCACTCACCCTTGCACCTGAACTCGTAAACATTTTCCATTAGCACACACATAGAATGCATAAGCTACATGCAGCACTCCAAACCATAACGCATAAAATATGCTCCCTGCTCAGTTTCATCTGCATCGCAAAATCCCAGAGTATGCAGAACTCTAAGGAAGAACTGAATCATGAGCCAGACAGACATGGCACACTTGTATGTGCAAAATATTCTGAGCTACAGTTACTGTTGTAATCCTCTTTACGTGTGTTTTTTGTCCACATGCATATTCTACCTACTGGTGACTGCAAAACAGTACATTTACGGCCTGGAACTCAGCCTCAGAGTTCTAAGCAAAGTGGTGCTGGCATGACTATTTGCTCAAGTGTAACATTTTAAAACTGAAAGTTTCATTAAATTTAAGGTGCAAGTGGAAACCAAAGTAGCTCCCTGCAGATAGCTGCAAGGGGCAGATTCACTGATGTTGTCTCAGCTCTAGCCATTGAAGTGCTAGGAATACATAAATGCAGCTTCCTTTAAGTAAAGTTCTTAATGGGTATCAAAACACAGAATCATTTAAGAGAGCAGTTAACCTTATATAGACATGTCACCACAGGAGGAATCCAAGCTCTTGGCCGAATCTAATTTTAGTTTTCCAGGCTTCACAGAGGCTGTTAAAACAAATGGCAATCTGCCCATTGCTGCCATATTAAGGACAGACCTCTTGCTAGTTATTGTGGCACAGGGCAACAAACTGTGACATGAATAGTAAGATTCATCCTGTCATCTCCTCCCTGAACTTCATCTCCTTGTAGATACAAGGCAAAGAACAACACCTGTTAACGTTCTTCCTGTATATCCACCAAACGGCAGAGGCACTGCTGCACAGACTGAATGCTAGGGGGTATGTCTTTCCATCTGCACAGAACTGATTCTTTCTGCTGTTGCTATAAATTGATGTGAAAATATCCTGAAAGATATGGCAGTCTGAAGGCATTAAATAGTCTTTCACTAAATCCATTTAGCCAACCAATTTGTCTGACAAACATCATCTTGCTATTCAGTGGAGCAGTAATGCTTATAGTTAAAACCCAGCATCCACAACAACGAGGAGGATGCCCATTTTTAAACATGTCATGACACAGGTGGAAGTAGTGGGCCAAGATCCAAAACCATGCTGGCCAGGTTAAAGCAAGGGAAATATGGCCCTGTATAACACTGGGGAAAAAAAAAAAAGAAAAAAGACCATTTAGAAACTACTTATCAAGAGAAAATATCTACTTAGTAAGAGAAAAAAAGACATAAAAGCAGGCACATAGTAGGATGAGATCACTATTGATCAAAAACAGACTTTTTTTTGCCTAGGATACATTATTGCATTGCCTACTCAAGTTCAGACAAATGACTGCTGAGAGCATCCATCCAGGTTCTCCAATGTCTAAGATGCACACTGCATCTGGAAATGTTGGTACTAATTCCAGAGGCTGGCTTCTTATCAGAGATAGGATTACTGTGCATCTTCACACCTCCTGATGTAGAACATTTCAATTCAAATGCAGCAGGACAAACCAATTAGAGTAATCCCAGAATATTAACATGCAGACCAACTAAATGATGGTCAATAATCAAGACTAAGTTTTTAAGGAAACTAATGTTTAAGTGTTTGTCTAAACCTGACAATAAAACAACCTGAGAAGATACACAGTAACAGTTTTCAAATACATGCACAACTTCCAAGAGAAAAACAAAACAAAACACACACCAAAAAAATCCCCACAACTTCAAAAATCTCTCTTCCATTTTCACTCTTGACAAATTAGTAGTATCTTATTTACATGCCTACATGGGAGAACCATTAAAAACTCCAGCAAACTAAAGCCGTAACAGACCACAGGAACAGACTGAGCAGAAAGCTGCCTGGGGCAAGATGATAGCCCAAGTTGACTTCTGAAGATCCTTTTTCAACAGTATTCTGTGGGATGCATTTCTTTCGGTTTTTCTAAGGAGACTTGCTTGTAAAGCTGTAGATCTCAGGGGAATCTTTCCTCCTACTGCCCAAGAACTCTTTACAATTGTTGCCCAGTTCCTGATATCACGTATGGAAGCACCGAGTCACAAGCAATGTATGCCAGGGGTTACCAAACACACTAAGTCCCACGTATAGCCAAAGCACAGCTAGGTACATATTTTCCTAAACCTACATGATGCCACATGGCCCAAGAACAACAAGCAGGTCAGAAGATAGTCAGTAAAATATCAGCTTTCACCTGTTCAGTCATATCCAACACTCCAACAAGGCAAGCTTTGGCTAACAAAATCCAGGAGAATCATGATGAACTTCCAGTCCTCATGCAATAACCCTGTTTTCCCAGCAGGTTTGCCCAAATTCTTAGTTCCATAATAGCAACAGGACAGTTTAAGACTTCTACTGTATGTCAGCCATAGCTGGGATTTGTCAAACAGATGTCTAAGCAAGACCACTTGGTCAAGTTCTTTCTCTAAGAGACATAATAATGTAACTGTAAAACATTTAAGGAGCAATATATGCAAGGAGAGTAACATTAAAAAACTGTATGAACACTAAGCAAGGTAAGTCAGTCACCCAATTTAAAAGAATTCAAACATTTAGTCACTATCTCATGCTTAAAAGATGACAAATTCAACATCTGCAGATCCTCTGTTGCACAGTCTTTTCCTTCAGAATTACCTATACTAGACTTTCTCTTCTCACTACTGCACAAATGTTTCCACATCACCCCCAGTAGCAAAATCTCAGTTTAGAGACAGACACATCTTGAAAAGGGGCCTTTACAAAATGCAAATAAGAAAGGTAACAAGGAGGAAAAGGAGTAAAAAATAAAATAAAAAACCCACCAAACACAGCCACAAAGCATTTTGAACTCGATGTTGCAGTCAGCTACAACACTGCCTGCAGTAACACCATCTCAGAACTGTCTGAACAGCCCCACAAGGTGAGATTTCAGATTCAGTTTCTCCAGCCAGTGAGAGCATTCTGGTAGTTACTTTTGAAACACTGCTATAGAGACTGTTTCATATGGAAGCACCATTTTTGGTAGATCCAAAGGAGGCTGGTGATGCAGGAGGCTTCATCTGTAGAACTTGTGTCTCCCTGAAAGTCAGCACCTGTTGTACAGCTTTTAAAAGTGAGTCTCTGCACTGAAGAGTCCTGAACAGGAAATGAACATGGGATATGAGGGACCTTCCTCATATCTTCTGACATCCTTCTCTTTCACACCTTCTGAGCCAAAACTAGAACTTTGAAATCATGTTAGCATGCATATCACTTCAACAGCATCATCCATGACCTACAAGTGAATGACAGCCAACAGTTGCTTATGCAACAGTCAGTACCAATGCCTCTGGGATGCATGTGGTTGCCTTGTACCAGTCTTCAACTATTTTAAACGCTAAAATTCTACTTACTTAAATGAAAGCAACAATCCAGCAACTGAAGCAGAGAACACAACACTGCCAAACCAATACACACAACCTCATATCCTCAGGGGATACTAGATTATCTCACCTTTTTCTTCACTGTCTCTCAGTACCAGAAAAAAATTGCCCAGAACAGCTATGGAGGAGTATCAGAACAACAAAAAAAGACCCCTTGCAATCATTTACCTTCCTGGTACAACATATTTTGATACATTAAAACAGGCATGGGTTATTGTAGTAATGCCCATACTTTCAACCTTTACTTGAGGAAATTATTTTGTAAGACCAGAACAATGAAACTCCTAAATTTCTCCAAGTGAAGAACCTTCTCACCCAGTGACAACAGGAAAAACACCCTCTCACCCTCTGACACACCTAGGAGAACGCAGCAACTCCCAACCAAATGATGAGATGAGGGACATCCTCTCCACACACCACCACACTGGAGGTGAGAAGACTGGCAGGCTGCACATACAGAAGGATAGAGATGCAGATCAAGGTCTTCTGTTTATGAGGCAGCCTGGAGCCACAATGGTGGCATGGGCAATACCCAGCTAGCTACTATAATCTTCACAGGTGCCAAAGAGCTGTTAGAAAACATGTCAACTGTGCACAGCTGAAATCCTCAGAGCTGAAGCCCAGAGCAGCTTTACAGAGGCTCTGACAGGCCCGATACTTGAGACAAAGTAAAAGCAGGGCTGATACGCTCTACAATCCCCAAGTACACAGGGCTGACGGAAGCACATGATGCCACTGCATCTCAGCAGAGACAGGATTTGCAGTATGTTTTCATTATGAAAATACCAACATGCAGGTGACTTAAGCGCAAAATGAAACCCCAATACCTTGGGCATTTTTTGTTTGCATTCCACGAGTACCAAAAGGAATGCATTCCCTGGATTGGCACCCAGCCACCTAGAAAAACATTCATGTGCACAAAATTCTACAAGCCTGCCATTTATGAGGAGGACATTGTCTTCTCAAACATCGTGAGCGAGATTTCTCCATCATGGATGACACTATATGCCATGATTAAAAAAATACATCCTTTTCAAATGCTTGCCTCTGAGATTTGACAACAGTTGAGATGAGACCCAGACAAAAGTAGACACAAACAGCAGCCTCAGGTAATCAATGAAAGCCAAGCATACATCCCAGTTGTCACTGCTTTTCTGCTTCTTTGAAGGCAAAAAGAGGTCATGGGGAGCAGAGGGGAGAGCAGGAATACAAAACAGAAATACAGAATAAATACCGATGAAAAAAGTTGTTTTTTGAGAAATGATTTACAACTGTCAGGAACTACCTATAGCAGAAGTTCTATCAAGCCAAAGATCTGACAGGAACTGAAGAATCTTCCACAGCCTCTAAGTAAGTTTGAGAAAAAGCAGGGCAAATACACAACACATGGGCATGACTAAGACAAGACGCTTCCAGTTGGGATGCACAAACACAGGATGTGTTCATGCAAGTCCGTATTTAGGAGCAGCAAAAGGTTTTTATGAGCCTGTAACCAAAAAGTGATAGACCACTATTCATTTTTTTGACAGTTAAAACAATCAGGCTCATATACTGAAGATAGTTGGGACATGTAGAGAACTTGCTCATTATTTCAATTTTGTGACACACTTTGTTTTCCAGTCAGTTGTACACATTCTTTCACTTGCTTTTGCATCTTTCTGTGTTCAGAAAAGAATGAAAACTAGCAGGAGGAGATGGATATTTATTGTCTTCCTCTTTTTAACTGTTCAACCTTAACCTCTCACCTTCTTTTTTTGAGATGATTAGTGACCAATTTAGAAAGCAGAGTGTGAAACTTTAAGCCTTCACATCATACACTGAAGCAGCACACATGCAACTGTACATAAATAACCTACTAGGGACTTCTATAGCGGCCTCTGAATCTGCGATCTCTACTTCTAGAACGGCTGCGTCTGCGTTCTTTGCTTCTGCTCCGTTTCCTTTCCCGGCTTCTGCTCTTTTTCCTTTCCCGATCTCGACTCCGTTTGCGTTCCTTACTTCTGCTCCTCTTCCTGTCATGGCTTCGACTACGGCTCTTGCTCTTTTTTCTCCTGAGAAAGAAAAATACAACTTTGGTTACACATGTAGCTCAGTGTTATTATTTACTTCACATTCCACAGTTCCTCTAACCTGATGTCACAGACATTGACAGGAAGAAGCTTCTATCCATCAGTATTTACACAAATTTAGTTTGTTAAATGGGTGGTTAAGCAAGTCAGCAATCTTTTAAAATTCATCACAAGCAACATGAAGTGCTCCAAAGCACTTTGTTATTTTAACTTTTGTCATCACTAAAGAATGCTTCCAGGAAGAGTACAATGACTGAAAAAATATTTCCTGCACTAGATCTAGTACATACTAAATGCAGTACTTCATGTGTCTTTCAAACATACTTTAAATACACCATCAAGATGCTAAGAGTAAATTATATTTTTATAGCAAAGTAAAACAAAACACAACAAAAACAGAAAGGAAGAGGCAAGTCTGAGGGCAATTCCGATAAGATGACACCACCCAGAAATCCAGATTCATCTGCATCAACATTATTTAACCACACTTCCTACTGTAATGCAGTTTTTGATAATTAGGCATGCATAGTCTCTCTCCCCTAGGATCAATCACTTACCAGTATCTCCCTAAACTAAAACCCTCGCACACTATCATAATGGCTCTGAAAAATACTACTTGTAGCTCAATATACTGGCCAGTACCAGTCACTAATAACCGCAGCTAGTCGTCAGTAAAGATAGCAACTATTCACTACCCAACTGTGAGCTGAACCCTCTTTGCATGCAAAGACTCCTAACAGTCAAGATCCATGTTCTGCCTTCCAACGTAACTAAACTGGACTACAGTACAGACTGTACTGTAAAATCGCAGATTCTTAATCCTTCTAATGTCTAAAACAGAAATTTAGTACGATTTGACAATTACTGAAAGCTGCACATTGAATCTAATGTTATTTTTCAGTTGATGTTTGGTTTCCCTGACAGTTTGAGTCTTCTTTTCAGTATAGTCCAACTGAAGGAGGGTAACGAGTATCCTCTAGATACTGACACTTCAAACAATTTAATTGATAAGCAAAGCAGTTAATTATAAGCAGTTTAATTGATAAGCAAAGAAGTCTTGTAAAGCCTATAAACACCTTAGTCTTCAGCAACAGAGTACACTGTCACAAGTCACATACAAAATGGTGTGGATCGTTCTTTAAAGATTATGGGGAACAACAGCTGTATCAGAACAAAATTCTGAGACAAAAAGCTTCATGCTATCAGAGAACTGCAGTACAAGAATAACCTTCTAGCAATTGCTAACTCGAAAACTGAAATGGGGAGATACCACAGGAGCAACATGTCTGAACAGACATGAGGGTACAATGAGGAAAGCAGAAAAAGAGATGAAACTCCACACAGTAAAATAACATTGCAAGTAACAGTAGCAAAACACCTTGACTTCCTTCCATTTTACAATAATGTAATTTTTTTCTAAACTTAAGTTTACTATTTTTCTAAATTAAAAACACAAACTCAAAGCATACAGGTCCAATCTGAAAACAAAGCCGTGGGCGGGAAGGTAACAAATGTCATTTATAGAGGTTACAGCAACTGAGGAAATGAGCTAAAATATGTTCCAGTACTCTCGTGACCCTACCATGAACACACATCAGAACCAATTCTAAAATTTAAAAAACACTGCTTTTCTTTCAGATCCCAGTTTATATTTTCAGACTAGCCATCCAAACAAAAGCAAGGTTTTACATGCCATCTATATATATATATATATGTATTTTTTTAAAGCAATAAAAATTCAGAACTTAAAATAATGGGAACAGCTGCTTTTGATGGGGTCTTAGGCGTCTCAGTATTTTACATGAGAATTATGTTCACAGTGTTGTTTAGAATGCAGATATAATGAATTTTAGATTATTACATTCCAGCCCAAGTCTGGTGTTGGAACTTGACCTCTCATTTTGCAAGTATTTATACACCTGGGAAGAAATCTTTGGATCCCTTCAGCATTTTACATGCATGATTTCAGAAGTTGACAACAGTCTGTATTTTTATCTGATACTAACATTAAATATTTTCACAACTTTTATGATATCAGTGACAAGGGTGTTACTACATTTGTAAACAAAAGAAAATTTCATAATTGCTGCAGTTGCAATTTCATAATTGCTTGCAGTTGCAAGCTTTTCCATTTTATTTCCCTAAGCATGAGTGACATGCATTCACAAGTTTTCAAAAATCAGCAGCCTGCCCCCAAATATAGAGAATTGAGAATATGCTTACTTCTTGCTGCGTTCTTCATGGCCATTGGCACTGCTCAATTTGTTCTCATCCTAAGCAGGGTTGATAGAAGAACATCGTGAGGACGAAGCGGAAATATTTCAAGTGGTCAAAGGGTAATGGGAATAGGAATAAGAAAATAAAAAACAAAAATTTTAATACTAAATTACTTGTTTACAGTTTAATGTGGAAAGGTTTAAAAAATTTAGGTAGGCATGTTTAACCAATTTGCTGCTTAAATTTAAGTCATACAATTACAAAATACAAGACTTGCATCATTTAAAAGTGTATATTAAATTGTACATACTTCCTTACATGGTTTAGAGAGCAAGTTATCCTGTAGAATTCAGCACTCAAGTGGTTAAATGTTATTTCTATAAAATAAGCGGAATTTTCAGGTTTGTGTTTGTGTGCCCCTCTGATCAGTACCAAGGCTATATCTCTGCCTAAGCCCCAGTGGCTACGCTAGCAGCCAGCCACTATGGATTTCCTGTGACCGATGCCATTCCCGAGATCTTCACTCATTTTCGTTGAAGGGTTGTAAGAGCTTGATGTCACCTCTGTCACACATCTCGCCCTGAAGCAAACAGGGATTCACACTGCTTTAGTAACGTCGACTCCCAAGAAAGTCATCAATAATCCACCAGTCCAGCCTAAACATTCCCTATTTCCATACCTGTTTACATGGAAAATATCCATGTTAAACCAGGACACAAGAATTTTAACATAATTTACAAATTTCTCTTCAAGATTTTAACGTAACTGTTAAATATTACATAAACTAAATATACCATTTAAAACTTACAAATGCTCATCCAAAATTCATTACATGGTTGTAATAAACACTGCAGAATAGACTAACAATAGCTGCTATATAATTTATATACTTGTTTTACAGTTTAATCACATCAGTTACATCAAAAGTACAATTCCTAAGCAACTTAAACTTAATATACATTTCTTGCAAAACCAGTGCTAAAGCATGCATAATGTTAACACTTCACCACCATTTGGTGAAAAACAAAAAAAGACAGTATTCGTTTGCTGCTGGTTTAGGTAAAAGACATCACTATGCTAATTGATAAAAAATTTGCATAAAAATTGACATTTCCTAATTAAACAACTAGGACAGAAGAATACAAGAGCTTATTTTAGAATGACACCGCAGACTGTGATACTGTCTTTTACTTGCTAAGAATATTCTATTCAGGGATCCAAGAATTTCTGTAAATTCGTTCACTCAGCAATTGATTTCCATCTGCCCTGTTAAAAGATTAACCGCCACCAGTCTTCTGCATTAAAAGCAAGTCTCACTCTTCTTGCACTGAGCAGACTGTTCAAATATTTACTTGCCATGGGACTGGTGAAAAGGTTATTCTTGGAACCCTGCTTTTCCCAAACCACTGCATTCACCTTGTTGCTATACCAAACTGGACCTGGCAATTTTAGGAGAGGTTTTTGGTTTCTTGGGTTTTTGGGTTTGTTTTTTTTGTTTTTTTTTTTTTTGTTTTGGATTTTTTGTTTGTTTGTTTTTGGGTGGTTGGTTTTTGTTTTTTAAACCTAGGGGACCACGGTACAGCGATACGTCACTCAATTACTACCTTATGATTGACAGTTCACACTGGAATCAAAGGTGAATTCATGGGAGTAGAGGTGAGATATCGTTAGGCAAGTCTACAAAGAGAGATAGATGGGCATTTATTCATCACGCTGAAGTGAAACTACTGCACAATATAATTACATTAACAGTATATATTTACTTGTAAGTTACATGTAATGCATCTCCAATAAGATAAATCATGAGGGCTCCAGGGATGTTAGTTTACAGTTCAGCAGTAGTTTCATGAATAATGCTAAATTAAGGTAAACAGGACCTCACTGGCACATTTTTTCTCACCTTCTTGTAAGGAGCTTCAAGCATTGCTTCAATATCAATATCATCAGCCATTTTTCAGGACACCTGAAAAAAGAAGCAAAATCCACATGAGAGGGAAAACACCATTGTGCTTTATATTCCAAAGGCTTTTCCCTAAGAGGCCATCACTGCATTGGCTCAAATTCAAAGAGCAGTGTCTCAGAAGACATTTCCAACAAGAACTGGAATCAAGCTTTCCCCAGCGAGATACAGATAAACCAGTTATAGCAGCGAACAACAAAATGCTATTGAACACAATTAGGCAGTGGAAGCCCCAGAGGCATTCCACCTATTTCTTTCAAAACAAAGAGCACAGATCATTTATGATATAGGAAGACAGGTCTGGTGGCCATCTTCAGAAGTCCTAAAGCTTGCGCAAAGGACCCAAGAGACACATGTAAAGAACACAGAACAAACATTCAAGCAAACCTGTTCACAGCTTCCTAGTATTTGCTAATTCAAATCTACTAATCTGAAGACTTTAAAGCAAACACTACGATCCTTTAAGAAATATGGCCTCCTGCATAATGTAGGCCCCAGAAGAAACAGTTATGATTGAAGCATTAAGAGCTACTAAAGCATACACAAGATCCATGCAGTCTGGAACTTCATATTCCAGACAAAAAAGATCCACCATGCCGTGTAACACGAGTCACCACAAACTTTTTATTTTCAATTGTTCCTCTTATTTTTCAACTTCAACCCCATAGTATAATTATGTGTTTATTATATTCTGAATCCCTTTGACATTTGATTTCCTTTCCCTATGCAGGTATGCTACTAAAAGCCTCTCAAGATTCTCTGCATTAAAGTATAGGGACTCAAGTTCCTCAAATCTCTTAACAGTTTCTCTCCTTTTTCTTTCTTAAGCTCAAAAATGGCCAGGCCTCTAAATCCAAGTCAGACAGCCCATGAGTAAAAGCATTACTGCATGTGTTCCATAAAATATTTTTTTAGTCATACAGGTTAATTCTTGCACCTTGGTTATAGGCATTGCTGCAGGAATTGTGCTGTCCAGAGACTTGGCAGCATAATGAAATCACTCCAACTTTTCAAGATCCTTTAAGTTGTTCACTCATAACTGAGAACATTATACCAGAGCTGCACCACATGTAAGAATCAAGTCACTCTATCACTCATTAAAACAATCAAGAATAAAACACAATCCTTTAGCAGTATCAGCGCACTGGAAGTTCATACTCAGTTACTTAAACACGGCACACTAACCTCATTTTCAAGTTATTAAATCTTGGGCTATAGTGCTATCATTTACAAATATAATCATCCATAGTTTGTGTGTAACAGCTTAACTTTACTTTTTACTAGAGTATTTACATTCAGCTTTTCAAGTCATCTACATACATGCAAATGATTTAATCCACCACTGCTCTACCAGTATTTGGTATGAACAAGTACATCAGTATGATTAAGGACCATGAAAAAGCACCAGGCCAAAGCCAGGATTCCACAAGAAAATTCCCATCCACAATTATATTTTCATATATGTAATTGAGCTAGCATATCCAGCTACACCTGGGGTGGGATTCTTCATCCTGAAGAGGGGTGGCCAAAGAGGAGGATAGGGGCCATAATAAGGACCGCCAAATCATGAGTGGCATGGAAAAGTGAATAGGGAATGACCATTACTGCATTCATCCAAATAATAAGAGTTGAATGAACTATCATCCAGTGGGTTCAAAACAAAGGTCCTGATTCACACAGCATTTAAGCCATGGAATTCACTGTTACAGGGCACTGTGGATGCTAACAAAGAAAAACACACATGCAGTGTTCAAAAAACCCAAAACAAAAAAGCACAAAAGTTTACAGAAAAAGCTTTTAATTAAACAAAGACATGCCTTGTGACCCTGAACCACAAGTAGCTGACAACTAAGAGCACACAGAGAGACGTACCACTGTATGATTGCCCTGTGTTTCTTTTCTTTCTTAGGCATTTACTGTTGGCCACTATCATAGACAAGACCCCAAGCTACATGGACTTTTGGTCTCACCCCCGTGCAATTTGTGCCCTTTGTACTCTGTACAAAACACTTCCATTGGTTTAATACCATGTTTTTATAAGAGTATCTTCTGTTCACAAAACACAGGCCTACTACCGACTTTGCAATTCATGTAATGGATATAACGATGCTATATCTAAGTTACTCTTTAAAAATAAATCACATTATTAATTTCAAACGACTAGAAAATCATGACAGATTTTCAAGTATCTTTCATTAAACACTGAAAAAGCTCCAAATATTTCTCATAAAAGCCTTTCAGCTTGCTCAAAAAAGCTGTATATGCCCGATCTTTGTAGAGGAAAAAAAAAACCTACACCATCACCACAAACTCAAAACACAAAAATAAGTAAGAAATGAACTATATGATACTTTGTGGGTCTACACAAAACCTAAAAGGACATGAAATTTACGCCTACTGATCTAGCCAGCATTTTGAAGACAGATTCCATCTCTTTTTGCTGTTATATTACATAAAAGGAGTTTAAAATGGTCCTCTCCTCAAAATTCCTTCCTTTAGAAATTCCCAGAAATGACAACTCCACTCTTGCTCTGCAAAGAGTCTCCTGGAAAAGCATCAGGGAAGTTCAAGGAGAACTGAATTCCTTCGGGAGGGAAGCTCAGCCCTCGGCAGTACACGCACCTCTGTTCAGCGGGTTCCTTCCCACCCGCAGTTGCTCCACACACTCCCTATGCGATCGAACGAGTTCGGCTTCCCAAACACACCGTCGAGCTATAACCAACCCGCCCGATTCTGGCGGGGCTCCCGACTTGCTCCGAGCACCGCACCTTACCCGCACCCTCCAGAGGCCTTCAGTCCCT